CCCATCCTCCAGCTCAGTCCTTTTCACTTTGTCCTCCTGTTCCCTTTCCTTTTCTTTTCCCTGTAAACAGCTAATCAAACTGAAGCACATCTGCTCTGCTAAACTGTTGTAATTTATTCCTTTTAGTGTTGCCTTCAGGTATGTGAAGAACCCCTGCTGGTTGTTTATTCTCCAGATGGATTCATCAGACTAAATGACTTAAACATGGGTTCACACATGCACAGTGCAGGTACTTGTCACAAAGCTGCACCTGGGCATGTCAATTTATCCCAGGAAGGGGGATCTTGATGCATTTAAGCTAATTACAACAGGTTCAGTACTTGAAAAAAGGTTGAGAGCTGCTGTTTAAGGGAGTGAACAATTTCGGACTGTTTTGTTTTGTGCTGACATTTAGTCTGCGGTAATAAAGCAGCAGAGCCCTCACCTCATACTCCAGGTCATCCTGCCTGTCGACCTCGTGATGCGAGACATCGAAGTAGTCGTTGGGGTCATTGTACTCAAACATACAGCTGGAGGGAGGAGGAGGAGGCACAAACATCAGTCTCCATCGTGTCAAAAATATAGATTGAAAAACAGACAACAGGTGAGGACATACAGCTCACTGGTCCCGTACGATCCCACGAGGTGAGGGAGGGGAGGAGAGGGGGGAGGTGGTGGAGGGGAGGAGGTACCTCCTCGGCCATGGTGGTGGCCTCTGCTCCTCCCCAGCGGCACGATGTTCTGGAAGCTGATGTCTGTCTGCGTAGCGTTGTCGATGCAGTCTGGGATGGCCACCATGGCAACAGAGGAGATGGAGGTGCTGCCGGTCCCGTCACCACTGCACACTAACATACCTGGGGGGGAGGGGTTCAGTTTAGACTGACACTGTGAAGACTGAGAGGAATAAACAAGATCATTCTGACTGTTTTATATCAAAATCCAAATGGTTGAGAGCAAATGTATTCATTTCTACTCCTCCTCCAAAACTAAGGGCTCTGTACATCTCTGGTTTCCTTAGTCATGGCCAAGTTTGAGTGATCTAATCAAATCTGTAGGACTAGATTTAAGACCCCTTTTCACTAGGAGTTTACAATAAATAAAATATGAAGCTGACTGCAGGACGACAAACTTAGCAGGTATAGTCGCCCCCTTGAAAACGTCCAGGCTTCATTTAAGAGAAACCGAGACAAACGACGGATGAGTTGAGTGTGCGTTTCTTGTTGCGCTGCCAGCTCCAGCTCCGACACACTCACAGGTCAGTTCACCTCTGCTCTGTAAATGCCCTCAGTGGGACAACAGACTCACTGGTGCTGGCCTGTGATGATTTAAGTTGATTTACTCACTTGAAAAATGATCTAATTTGTTTTCAGATTATTTCAGATTACAGATGTGGAATATTTAAATCATCCTGAAAGTTGTATGTGTGCTGTGTATTTTTATTTCAAGCCCTGGTGTTTGATTAAATGGAAGACAGATGACAAACTAACTGATGTGCAGCAATTATACAAGAAAAGATGGTAAAAGTTGAATGTTAACACAAAATTATTTGGTACTTAAGAAGAGAGGAAAGGTTGAGAGGGCATGTCAGGAGACGTGTGCGAGTAGAAAATGTGACTTGGAAGGTGAAACTGGACCAGATGAGATGTAACGAGGCAAAAGCGTGAGAAAGATGAGAAAGAGGACAAATCCTGGTTAGATGTGATGAAGAGCGATGCTATTAAAGGAGAAGAGAAGGTTCCTGCCTGACAGCAGAGCTTTAAAGACACAGCACCTGTGTGCAGTGAAAGCAGCCTCATTTAAAAAACGTTTGACATGTGTTACTGGGATGCGATTACCTTTCCTCTTGTGACTCTTGCGGACAGAGCCGGGTTGCTGCAAAGACTCCTGGGAGTTTTGTGATCTGTCCAGTAGGAGCTGAGAGGATCTTCTTCCTCTGACCTGAAGAAGGAATGAGATTCAGAGTATGGAATTTATAGTGTGTAGTTTACATATAGGCGATAAGTAAAGAGTTAATGTGCTACATTGTGTCTGCACAATAAATAACCAAAGGCCACAGTTGGAATTTGGTTTGGTCAATAATAATAATAATAATAATAATAATAATAATAAACTTTATTTCTAAAGCACTTTACAGCTCACCTAAGCACAAAGTGCTGTACAATACCGAATAGCCAACATAGAACATCATAGCAGTCTATAAACAAATAACACAACATTTTCTTTGTAGAGAACTCAAAGCATTAAACGTCAGATAATCACTTTAAAATCTAATTTTATATACTTGGCAATTTTTTTAATCATTCATTCAAATTTAGCTTGGTTGTAAATAACAACTTCTGGATTTGGTCACAATAATGTTGTGTTACAGTGCAGTACTTTGTATTTGTGCTGATCCATATGGGAAGGCCGAGCTCTGACAGCGGCAAGGTGAATAAGAACACCCTACACTGTCGCTGCTTCTTCTGCAGATCCATATTACTGCAGCTAATGCTAATTATCTGAGGGTAGTTAGCCTACTGTTGCTCTCTACACTGTATGACTGGCTGCTGCTGTCGCGGTGCTCGTGACTGGCGTGGCTATTCTGGGCACGCTGTCGCTGTGATTATGGCAGTGGCTTTGGTTGCTATGAATTTAACCCCCCCCCTTTTTCTAGTGTAACCTGGTCCTGAGTTTCTGGGCCAGCGGTGGAGTGTAAAGACTGGCACCAAAAATCACCCCACAAACCAGACATGTCCTACTACAACTTCCAGGGAGCGTCTGTATGCATGCATGTCCTGTGCACTTTACTGCTGTTTGGGCTTTTTTAGTCATAATAGTTTATGTAAAGTTAGTGTGAGGGAATGCACACGTACTTCAGCAAAACATCCAGACTTTACTGACCCCCAAAGACAGAACTAAAGCAATGTAATAAAAATCTAAACTAGAAATAAAATACATGAAGGTCTAAAGCATAAATAAACAGAACCAACAGTTTACTGATGAGTTACAGCCTTAACTGGAGAGGAGCTAAAACTGTTGTGGTGCTATTAAAATCTGGTAAAAAGACATTTCCAGGCAGTCTGCTTGTTACGTCATGCACCTGGTGTGCAGAGTTGAGATTCTGGTCTTCAAGTGCTGCTAAAGGGAAACTGAAAGTTTCAACTGTGAAATCATCCCGGATGTGGTCGGTAAATTCTGTGGTTATCACATCAGAGTTTATTTCCTGTGAAGTGGAAATTTTATCCTGGTGCTTAAGCAAAAATCACAAATTCATTAGGCTTCATTGTTTGCGAACCACGAATGTCAACAGCAGAATGTAGTCAGCAGATACTAGGTTTTACTTTGCACCAGTGTTGGACAGAAACATTCACAGCCCCTGAAAATCACATAAAACAAAAACAATATAAAAATAACCTGAACACACAGATGTACTGACAAACCAGGACTGAAAACATGAGCAATAAACATTGAAGAATGTAAGTCATGAGTAATTAATCAAGCCAGAATCTAGAAACCAGGAATCGAGGAATATGATTAAAAATCTGTGAAACAGAGGAAAACAAATTTTCAGTCGAAGGCTGATAAATAATGAATCAAGGCAGCTGTATAATTCAGAACAGCTGTGGTCTCTTTGCCTGAGGTAATAAATCAGCTCATTTGTGAAACCCTTTGTGGCTCTAACACACATTTGTTTCTGGGAAGCTGCTCAATGCGACGTGGAAATCTGAAAAGCAGGAGTTCCTGAAGCGGGTTTGTGTGTTTCCCAGAGAGAAGCACTTGGCGTCTAGTCTAGTCAAGGTCTGCAGCTTCTGATCATGAGGTGTTTCTACCAGTTAGGATCATGTGGACAAACATAATCAGCACAGATTTCATTTGGCTCTGCTCAGGTTTCCAAAACTGACAGACAGCATCAATTAGTTTCTACCCATAATCCCCAGCATGTGGTCCATGGGATTGTCTCTCGAGGAGCAGTAGACATTTGGGCTTCTTCTAAGTCTTGTTAAAGCAGTCATATTGTCACAGCGCTGAGCCGACTCCTTGTACACACTGTTAAAAAACTTTCTTTAGCATAAACAACATCAGGCCAGTCTAAACAAGAAAGGCGTCAGAGAGGCAGCTTCCAGTCTTTATGCTCCACATATGAGATCTGCTCAAACTTTGTTCACTTAAATCAGGGCTTAAGATATTTCTCTTGGCTTTTAATAAATTAAGAAATTATGAAAGAGAAGTGAAGACAGTGCACACATATCAACGCTTCCTCCTCAGACGAATCAGTGATTAAAGGCTCTATAGTGACAGTGTGGAGGAAAAGTTCCCAATCTGTCATCAGCTTTATGGAAGGGGAACCTTATTAAACATGACTGATGGGAGGCAGATGGAGGAATGTAGCACAGGAAAGAAGTCAGTCATGCACAGGATCACTGCAAGCTGATGGATGTTACATCCTTCCTACCTTGATGTTTTCGTGTTTGTCCATCGGTCGCAGGGAGTTGTTCCAACCCTTCTGCTGAGAGAAAGAGGGAGGCAGAGACAGACGGTGTTACTGGGGTGGAGAGAATAAAAATAATAATAAAAAAAAAAGAAAATCTGTTTGGTAAAAGGTCTGGTTATTAAACAGCATTCATCATGTCGGTGTCACTACAGTGGAATAAAAGATGAGGAATCATTTCTCTCTGCTGATTGAAATACCCACATAGTTGGCAGTGAATACAGGAAGTGCGGTGCCGCATTCACTTTTTCTTGTTCCAACTGTGCTCAGACTAGTCTGGCTTTTAATATTTTATATTATGACTGAATCAAATGGCTGTGAACGATTTAGGAAACGATTATCACCAATTCTGAAGCTCTGTAAAGATTTGTAGCTCCTTTTAGCTCCTAGTTTTGATTTTACAGCCAAGTGGAGCTTTTAGCAGCTAAAGATCCAGATGCTTTTGTCAGGAGGTGGAGACCAGACCAGACCTGAAAGGAGAGTGAATGTTGAACCGAACTCCACAAAGCAGCTTTACAAGGCTGAATGTTGTCAGGTCTGTCAGCTTGGAGTCATTGTGTAGTGGCCAAAGATCCTCAAGTTAGACCTTCTAAGCAGAATTAATAAAGGACAAGTGCACCACATTTTCAGCTGTTCACCCACGTGGTGCTGCATGTTAACAGATGCTGAGCACATTCAGGCCGATTTCACATGAAACCCGCGTTATGTTTTGCTCAAGGGCATGTACTGTAACAGATGCTAATTTAGAGAGAAGGCTCCAGTCCCTGGTTGGGTCCCACCTCATCCAGCAGCTCATAACTAGCTCACATGCAACGAGCCGCCAGCGACTCACATTAGCATAAGTAATGTAGCTGTGTACAGGCGTCACTCGGGGCCAACTCGAACAGAAACACCTGCCCAGAAACGAGCACAGAGGTAATTATTCATGAGAATGTGTAGCGTCTGTACTGCGTGTGTACTGTAATAATAAAAATACTGTGTTTTTATTTCTAGGTTTTCAAGCATGCTGGAATTGTCGCTCCCAAGTGAACGCCTGCAGACACACACTGACGCCTGCAGACACATGCAGACAGCCTCTGAACCCACACACTACCCTGCTGTTTCCAGGTGAGACGCACACACCAGCTCATGAATACTTGCATGGACGCCCACAGCTCTATCACACACACCTCTCCTCGCCCCTGCCTTTGTTTCACAGCCAGTTGTTATGCATGACATTGCCTCTGAAGCTTGTCTGGCTGTGTGTGTGTCTGGGAGTTGATGAACATAAGGCCTGAGCTGGTCAATGCACGCACAATAACCATTAGCCTCTACCAGGCCTGTGGTGGGCTGGTCGCCAAATGTGTGTTTCCCCTGCCATTAAACAGGACATCTGGAGTTTCCACCCTGACAAAACACACTCTCTGGGAATCAACAGTGTGCAGGTGTGTGCGTGTTTCTTGTGTAATGAGGGGGATTCCTGTACTTGGTCCTGACCTCTGAGTCACTGCCCAGACTGTCAGCTCTGGGTTTGGTCTAGGCAGCGATCGCTTTCTCAGAACTTTCAGTGGCCAGGACTTGATGAAGCTCTGACGCTCTGCAGAGTGAAACATAATGTCAACTGAAAGTCAAAGCATTCAGCAACAACAAAAAGACGTGACTCTTTTTCCCATCACCAAACCACAGTGCAAAGCCAAGACAGTTTAGAAAGTATTTCAAATGGAAATCACTGTGCACTGTGTGCATCTAGGGCCAGACTCAGGATATTTGTAATTGTTATGTTCAACTAATAAAGCACTAAATTGATGCTATATTAGTTAAAACACGTGTGAAACGCAGAGAAACCTGCTCAGGAGCTGGTTTGTTCCCAGATGATGCCGGCTGGTTAGACAGCTTCACTTAGAGAGATTTATGGTGTCCGTCCTTAATTCAGCACAACAACACACCCATTCCTACACAGATCAGTTAAAAGGTGTAACTGAAATGGTTCAAATGTTGTTTTAATTGTACACACCCCTGTAAATTCCCCTCATTGTGTTTAATGGCTGGTTTAGTCTCAGTCGGGAATGATGGTACTGTCATAACCTTGATGTGTCTGTGTTAGTGGCTGTAAGTGTGAGCATCTGTGTGCAGATAATGGACTGGCGGGTCCGTGGAATAACGAATGGCTCTGGCACATCGGAGTCATCAGTGCACCGGTATCGTTGTGTTTGTCGGCCTGTGTGGATCTGGCAGTCGACTGCGAGTGTGGGATTTTCCTGTGCCTCATAATTACAGCGTTCCCTGGCTCCCTGCTGTGCTGCTGCTCATTAGACTCTACTGGTGTGTACAGTGTGTGTGGTTACAATAGGCATCCCGACCGGGCTCCGCCACATTAGCTCGACAGAATTCACAGCTAAGTCAAGTGTGAAATTAATAACAGAACGAGAGAGAAGCGCTGACTCGTCTCTTCTGTTGGAACTGAAACCGCTATCCTCCACGCAGAGACGGACCTCCTCCACCTACTGCAGCTCAGTCAGAG